ATCATAGAAGTTGATGCTGTCTCATACTTTTTCAAATTGTTACCTTCAATTGATTTAGTAAATCCTCTCATAGAAGGTTTCTGCAGTTTTAATTTTTTCACTGCTCTTTTGCTAGTCTAGAACACATCATGTGATTTAATTGAACTATGCCTTTGAAATTTTTGTAAAACTTTCATTTTATATCATTTGAAATGTCTGGAGTGAATTATCTAGAGGTTTAAGGCTTGCTTTAATGGAACTTGTGGCGAACGTATGCGTTTCACATCACCTCTTTTCTTTTATTTCAATGGAATTATGTTAGTTGCTTAGCTGTAGCTGAAATTTCTCATGTTGGTTCTAATTTGTACCTTGATTTTGGTGCATTATATACTAATTTGTATGTCGAGTTTTCAACTCCCTGAATGTTTGTTTAACAGGTTAATTATCGCGAATGTTTCAGAGTTTACAACAATCCAAATATCACATTGCACTTCAATACAGAGACCGTGGATGTTGTTAGCAATACAAAAGGTCAAATGTCGGGCATATTAACCAGAAGAGTTGATACTGGGGAGGAATCTGTGCTCGAGGCAAAAGGCTTGTTTTATGGTATAGGACATTCGCCAAATAGCCAGCTGCTGCAAGGCCAAGTTAAACTTGATAGCTCAGGGTATGTGCTAGTGGAGGAGGGTAGTGCTAAAACTTCTGTAGAAGGTGTATTTGCAGCGGGAGATGTGCAGGTAATCTTGATTAAATCAATTATTCTATCCTCTATCTTGTATTATCCTTGGGACCAGTCAGCAAATAATGCGTCTCTCAAAGAATTTGAGATTTGTATTCCATCATTGACAGAACTTGTGGCATGGTCATAGTAGTGTGTCAGAGTTATACTAATCATACAATGGAAACACTAGTCTTTGGCAATAATTTCTAAGACTTTCAGGTGAGCATCTAAAAATCTGGGATTACTCTAGCGTCAGTTAAAGTAGATACATGGAAGGAAACATTAAACCATGGAAAATGGTAATGGAATATAACTACTTCAACCATTTAAAATGATAATTCAATTACCCAAACAACACAATTAGCAATGCTGTTATTTGGAAATGAAGCATTTTAAAATGATTTCATTTCAAAATTCCTAATCCAAATGCACCTTAAGATTATGGATGTGTGGAAATAGTAGCAACATAAAGTTCTCATTTTTGATAATAAGAAATAATGAGGAATTTGGATCCAATCATAGTCATATCTATTGATCTGGGGGAATATACCTATGTAAATTTCCTTCAAAGAAGTTCCTTGTCCTGAAATATTAGTTTGACCAAAAGGATTGATGCACTTTAAAGTTCTTCTAGAATTCAGATAATTTGGTAACATTGTGTAGAATATCTCAACCATGCCATCTATTGAAATCGCATTAAGTAGCCTCCTTTTATCTTTCTTGGTGGAATGTGCCCCTTTCTGATGTATATGCCTGAGTATAATTGTATTATAGTAGAATTATGGGAAAAAGAAAAAAAAAATGAAACGAGGTATTTTGAGGTGTAGGATGGAGCTTTTGTCATATTTGTTTATGAAACTGTGATTTGTAATCTATGTTTCTCTTAGTTAGGTATAAATGTCCAGCATGGGCATTTGTCCAACATGAGCATGTCGAAATTTTTTCTAAGGTGTTTTCTTATATTTGGAGGGGTCACCCGGCCATAGCATATCCCCTTTGGGGTGTTGAATATTTATATGGCCCTAGTACTTAAAGAAAACTGAAGAGTCAAAGCAGCATAGTGTATAACCATGGAAGGTGACATCTTTTCTTTTGACAGTTTCTAAATACGAAAAAAAAAAATTAGTCACTTCATTAATGCTTAAGTGCATTCTCTTGTTACATTAAACAAATTTGTGCTTGGCCTGCCTCATAAATTCAAACTATCATCAGACTTCACATTTTTGGAAAGTCTATATTATTATTAAATTATCTTGTAACTTCATTGTCCATTTTATTGAATAGGACCATGAGTGGAGACAAGCCATAACTGCTGCCGGATCTGGATGCATTGCAGCTTTGTCTGTTGAGCGGTACCTAGCTAGCAATAATCTCCTTGTTGAATTTCATCAGGTATTTCTTTCTAACAAATGCCAACTTTGGCTTTTCTTATTATATTTTTGTGAGAAGTTTTTTTTGGTATATGCAGTAGTCTGCCTTCTTTTGTCCAAGTTGTTTATTAACTAAGCTCCTTGTACTTTATCCCACACATGCTTTTATTAATGTTCTTAATGAACTTCTATCTTACAGCCTCAAACTGAAGAGATTAAGAAGGAACTGACGGATAGAGATGTTCAAGAAGGTTTTGACATTACACTAACGAAACACAAGGGTCAGGTGTGTATGCTTTTAATCATCTTAGATGGTGGTTTCTTTTATTTGATTTATCTAATATTCCTGGTTTTGGTTTACTATTAGTGTTGGCTCTAAGTCTGTATTCTTATATCTACTCCAGTATGCCTTGCGAAAGTTGTATCATGAGAGTCCAAGGCTTATATGCGTATTATATACTGCACCAACTTGTGGTCCATGTCGGACTTTGAAGCCAATTCTTAGCAAGGTAACATTATTTTTAATTGTGTCAATATTGCCTGCTATTAAGCTTCCAGTGTCCGATTAATTCATGTTGGTGAAATCTTTTAAGTGTGATTTGTATGTGGTTTCATATTTTGAGGGTTGCATAGAATAATACTACTAAGTTTGTGTAAGGGTCTCTGAATCTTTTGATTGGTTGATTATGATGGAAGTTAAAAAATTATATCATATTGCTTCCCAAATGTTTGGCTTGCATCCAGCTGTTAAGGAAAATACTCACTGCAACCTGGAAGTGGATATTGCGATGTATAAAGATATTCTTTCATAAGACATGGGATATATCACTTCACTCAAATGGGCCTGATCTCTTTTCCTTTAGCAAATTCACTTATGTCATTGTTCTAAGCACTTTTTACATACCTTGATGGTTGACCTTAGATGTTCTAATGCATGGATACTCCTTATTCAGTGCTTATGTATCCTAATGTCGCATAATGAAGCTGTCATTTCTGACCAGCATGCTGTTTTTAGCTGAGAATATTGACAAATTGACTATGGTAGAAGAATCGATATAAGCTTTGATCTTCAATTCTTAAATATTGTGTAAGTTATGTTAGAATAAAAAGCACTGGGGAAGGAAGAACAGATTACAATTCAAAGAGCATGAAGAACAGTTTTCTCTGAAATTGGTATAGTTAGACCTAAAGCACCTAAATACTAAAAAAAAAACAGTTTTTCATTTCCTTTTAATCATCAATCTTTGCAACTGTTGACATTTTTGCAAGACAAGAAATGTAACTGAATCTCTGTACCATATGATGGAGTGGCTATAATTAGAATGCAGTAAGCAATTTGGTATAGCCAACTCTGATGATTATCATCTGTATTTCATCTCAGTATGTATCTGAAATGTCTCTATAATTTATTCTTTGATGGCTATATTAGATGGCATTGAAGCAATATGTTATAGACAGCTCAAAAGTTGGAAAATATTATTTAGTTCTTTCAATGTATGAACAAAGAGGGGAATTGCATGCTTATTGTATATATTCAGTCATATTTAATGTATTATAGAATGCATCTTTTCTAATGTGCAATTCAGTGGCTGACTCTTGATTTGCTTATCTTTCGCTAAATTTCTCTATTGCAGGTGATTGATGAATTTGATGAGAATGTACATTTTGTTGAAATTGACATTGAGGAAGATCCAGAAATTGCAGAAGCTGCTGGAATTATGGGTACCCCATGTGTGCAGTTTTTCAAGAATAAGGAGATGATCAGGTTGGTTAATCTCATTCTTATTAAATTTTTTCCTTTGTACGATGCTGTATTTTATTTATCTTCTGCTATCTATTAGCATATGCAAAATGAACTTGTTCTGAAGTACATTAGGCTTGTTGCAAAAGATATGCAGTCACGGATAAAACTATTAGTCCAAGGTTGCTAGTTTTTTCCTACCACCAATTCTTATTATGCTGGTTATGCAGGACTGTGTCAGGGGTCAAAATGAAGAGAGAGTACAGAGAATTCATTGAAGCGAACAAATGAGAGTATTTAACTGCTTGCATGGATATCATCATTTCATCATTCAATTTTGTTCTGAAAAGTTATTTGAATAATGCTTCAATTTTAAAATGATATCTTGTATTGATGAACTACACTGTAGATTACACATGCAGAGTTGCCAATGCATTTTGACGGTTTTTTGTTCTCCAATTTTGTGCTTCAGTAATCTGTATATGTTGCATTCAGTTATGAATGTTGTTTACAAGGTGGACTACATGCTCTTGACTAGAATAATTGGCAGCTATTCTGTATTCAATCCTTTCAGTCTTTTATGGAAAATTTTTTTTGTGACACAGGTTTGTGCATTTGGTCTTTGTCATTGAGTCGGCTTTCATTGATAGACATGAAAAATATTTGTTATTTCCATAACTTGCATCACTATTGAGAAAAATGGATTGCTTTCTGATTTAATCTGCTATCCTCTTTTAAGCCTTCCTTGTGTTGAGACCACAAATGGCTGTATGAGAATTGACTTTTTTATTAGTTGACTGGGCAATATGTGAAAGCATGATTATCCCAACATTTTCTTTCAAGTGTGATCAGGCCTTTTCGTGTTCTCCTTATATGATCTTGACTGAATTTAGTTGTCTACTGTCACAAGCTTATAAAAATGACCTTGCCCATGTTTGGGAAAAAAAAAAAAAACACTCCTGGCTGCTTTAATTAAACTGCAGAAGTTGTCAACAAAAATCTCATAAATTGATACAACAATGTGATCTAAGCTTACCTCTGGTGGCCTCATACTTATCATCACATTTGAGAGAGAACCTCATCAATGGGGCTCCCCAATTCTAGGGTTTCTAGACTCCAAAGGTATCAACCTTGCTATTTTGTGAAGTATAGATTTCCTTTCATTAATGATTGATTATCTGTTTTCAAGTGGGCTTTTGTATGTCTCCATACCTAATATCAATCACACAAGATACATGAATACATGAAAACAATTACATTGCGTTTATGTTGACTACTATGACTTCTGATTGAAACTGGAATTTGCGTCTTTCTATAGGTTCTACAATTGTATTTATCACTGTCATATAGAATCAGAGTGTCTCGATATAAAAATTGGATATGTTTTTCGGAAGAAGTCAGTGTCTCCTTTGGAGATGATTCACTCCTTGAATAATATTGCTGGTGTCTCTTTACTAAGATGGTTTACTCCCTTGATGAAATGTTCTAAAGGGATGTTTGATTGTTGTGGCACAAAATCTGTGCAATATTGACGATGCTCTTTCCTTGTACCTAAGAACCATGTAGAAGAGTATCCTTAAAACTGCTAATAAAGAGGCAAGTGCCGCCAAGTCCCACCACTTGGAATGATGAAGCTTAATTCCAAATGTATTCCGGTGGATCATCTCCCCCTTCAGCTTTGGCTCTCCAGGCACCGGAGGATCAAATTCAAGCCCAATCATATCATTCTTGCATTGACCCTGCATCAAACATCGTTAAGAATTTTCCCAAGTTTGTAGTTGGTAAGTAGGTACCTTCGCGTGCTTTGTGATCCTTGACCTTATCAGATGTTTGGGTGAATGAAATATTGACTAATGAAGCTTCTAGGAAAGCAAGTGTTCCTTGTTAAAATGGAAAGAAACCAATGGTTTATGCATTTGAGGGTAGCAAACCTCACGATTCTCACAGTTCAAACTCCGTTTAGTTGAACGAGGAAAAAGGTTATTCATAAATCAGTTTGCCCCAGTGACAGCTTAGGGTTGTTTGGAAAGAGGGGGAAGAGGAGTGAGGGTAGGGGTCCAGGTTAGACTAAAATTAAGATTTTGCTAATGTTTACCTAAGTTAATTGAAAGAGAGGGGTGGGGGTAGTTGGAAGGTATAGTAATTCAGATGGGTAAGTGGATAGTTTAGACCTAATAAAAATAGAAGAAAAGCAACACCATTAGCTGCAAAGATGAAGGATTGAGTTAGAAGGAAGTCACGCTCGTAAGTTTCAGCGACATTCAGATATTATTGAAGGCTCTGACCTCAGTTTTTGACTGAAGTTCAATCTTCCGCAATAGAAATTTTAAAGCGGAATTGGAATATATGGAAAGACATGGAAAGTATAGCAGGATTTCAGGGCTCAAAAATCATCTCGACAGTTTCCTATGGAAATCCATGGTGGTGAAGTGCAAGCTACGTGCCTAGGGCAACATGACTTGAGTCAGGTTGATTGCTTACCTCTACTGCCCAAGCTACATAGCTGATGTCGTACATAGGGTAGTACCAAAAGAACCTGGGAAGATCAAGGGCCCTTCGGAAGATGCCAGTCGGCATCATCACTATTACCTACAGCAACAACTTCGTCGTTTTAGATCACAAATGCCTTTTTTGTTCGAAACCAGGTTACTCAAGTAATCTAGTGAGTAGTTTTTGAGCATACGGCCAGGCCAGCTGAAGCTCCTATGGCCATCAAGAGGTTTGGTACCAGTATCGTAACAATAAGCATGCAGGTTTCTGCAACGGCAATGCAGCACAAGAGATTGATACAGAGATAGCAGTAGTGGGATAATCCTCGATGCAAGTTCACCATGTAGTATAGTATTGTTCCTGAACTGATAGAGATTGCAGCCACAAAAAGGTAATGTCGAGAGAAAGTTTGATGGGACGTACACAGCCTCTCCGTAATGTCCTCCAAATCTTTCTCGGCGAAACACCTGGATTTTTGGGAGGAAAATCTACAGTCAAAGCCTGATAAAGAGAGATTCTGCAAATTCTAATATGAAATTACCTTTATTTCTTCTGAGAAGAAAGGCAAGCCTCCGATGGATAAAACGATCATGAGTCCATAGATGAATCCATCAAACTTTCCCCTCAAAAGGATGGCAGAGTTGCTCGTCCCTATGTTAGAAAAGAAACTGCCAGCACTTAATGATACTAAAATGTAGAACACAATTCTTAACCAGTAGTATCCTATGTCTCTACAGATGTTTAGGCTAGATCGACGAATCAATGTACGCAGCTGCTCCGACCAGCTCGGTTTACTTGCATTTGATGTACTGCAATTTTCTTCCTGCGACGTTGTAAACTCGTGATCACTCCAAAGTTAATGCACCAAAATTGAGGAGAGGAAGATCCAAAAAGAGTAACTCTCTTTGGGATTTAAAAGACAAGTGCAAAGGTCAAAAGAGAGAAAGTTTGAATATTTATTGAGTTGTTGGTTAAATTGCATACAAGAAGAGCGAATTCTTGAATCTTTTTCCTTGCATTTCTTGCGTTGTCAGAAGCTTTATATCTCTCTACAAGCCTTGCTTTGATCTCTGAGGTTGTCAGATTGGTTGAAGAACCTGATGACGATGGCATCATTTCCTGTCGAAAATAAATGAAATGGAATCATATCTCTCGCTGATAAACTACTGAAAAAGAAGTTGTCTTATGAGGAACAGAATATTTCTGTGCAACTTAAAAAATTTTTCCTAGTCTGCGTTAGAATGGCTATGATTTTGTCAAAATCTGAATTAATACATCTAAGGAAGTGATCTGGAGGGTTTCTTCTCGTTGGACAAGGGAATCCAGCGTCAGCAAAGAACTACACTAGTTATGACAATTTCACTCCCAACAAAATCAAACAGGAATTGCACGACATGGACAACCTTGTCATCGAATTTTCACCTTGACAGCATGTTGAGCATCTCCGAAGTAGACAGTTTCTCCACCTGAAAGGAGGTACAGATCATCGAAGAGGTTGAACACATCGCTTCTTGGATGGTGAATGGCGCAAACAACAATCCTTCCATCATGAGCTATATTTCTCAGAACTTGAATCACCAAGAGAGCTGAAGCACTATCAAGTCCACTAGTTGGTTCATCAAGAAACAGGACATGGGGTTGTGTCAAGATCTCTACACTGATGATCAGTCTTCTTTTTTCCCCACCGCTTATGCCCCTCAAATGCCAGTTCCCGATCACTCTGTCAGCGCAGTCCTGGAGACCCATCTTGTGTATTGTACCTTCAACAATGTTATCCGTGTCTTCTTTCGTCAGTGTGGTGGGAAGCCTCAATTGGGCTGAGTAAGTCAGGGTTTCCCTGACAGTTAAGAGTTCCCAAGAAAACGTCTTCTTGAGTGGCATAAGACTTGGGAAAATATGGCAGAAAACACATCAGATACCATCTATCATTTTGTCCATGACATGCTCTTATAAATTTTGAATTTTCATATCTAATATTCAAAAAACAACTTCCATGAATAGGAAGACATATGGTTCGATATAATCATGTAATATGCGCTAAAATTATTGACCCATCAACATTAATTTCATCTCAGCATTTTAATCCTAATTCCTAATGTTTGAGGGAATACAATTAATTATAACAAAAAAAGATTTACAAGGTTGTTTCTTGTACTAACAATATCTCTGCATCCTATGCTTCGGCTCCTACCACTGCATAGTACCTTTCCAGACATTCTGACATTTGATGAGAGCCTGCCTGACAACAATAAGGACCAAAAATAAAGAAGGGCTTCAAATCAGTTTTGGCCAAACTGATGCACTTGTTTTCATTTATAGCTAATTCAATTGCCATGTCTGGTCGGTTTGTGAGCAATTATGGGTCTTAAATAGGCAAATAACAAGTGTCTACTGTACATGAAGTTTGAAATTAATATGGCTGAAAATAGGGCGGAGCGTCCCATCATCATAACTCAAGTGTTCATATCAACGCAGGTCCAACAAATAGGCGAAATACTCTAAACAAACCAACAAACTAGCTAACCCAACAGATTAATCTAAAAGCTCAGCTTGGGACACGGGGAGAGAAATGTCCACATAAGAATGTCTAATTTGATTTGAATTTTTGGATTTGTTAATGTTTATTTAGATTTAAATGTAAATTTATTAAATTATATTAAAATTTAGATTTAATTTAAATATTATCTCTTTAATCAAATCTCTTATCTTACCATATTTTATCTCTACCTTATAATTTAATTTTATCTAACCAAGAGGCATCAGTCTATGGCCCTTTCTTCTCATTTGTAACACATATAAGAGAAATAACAAAACATTCCATTTCTCTAAATAGTTCTCTCTTCTTCCTTTCTTTAGCTTTTTATTTTTTTTGTAGTTTTAAGGTTTTCTTAAGCTCTATCTTAAGTAAGGCTGCATGAAGTTGAGTTTAAGTTCGAGCATCTGACATCATAGTCTTTTTAAAAATTTTAAAATATTTTATTATATATAAATATTTAATGATCTTTCAAAATAATTTTTTATTAAATAATTAATACAAATAAAAACTTATAAAATAACTTGACAAGTCTCATTTAATTTTACTCTAACTCTTAAATTTTTCTCTACCATTTTAAATTTTCTCCTTGTCTCTTTTCCTCTCTTTTTTTTTTCTTTCTCCTTTGTCTTTTATTGTGAAATTAGGAAGAAGTAAAGTTTTGTTTTTATCTTTTTTTTTCTATTTATATTATTGTTATTTTTCATATTTACTTTTTCAATTCTTTTTTATTTACTAACCATCAACTATATTCTTCTACTTACCATGTTCTTTTTCTTTCTCTTTATGTGAATTTAATTTTAATCTTCAAAAATTAAAAAATTATTATATAATTCTCAAATATAAATTGTAGCATTGCATTATTGATTATTACTTAAAATTTCACCATTCGATTATTTTTATTGTATAAGAAAAAAATTATCTTAAATATATATTTTTTATGTGTTTTACATTTTATATTTAATTGAATGAAAATTATCTTTGAGTATTTAATATTTCAACAATCTTAATTATATAAAAAAATATTATTAATTTTATATATATCGTATTTAATTATTTATATTTTATATATTATTTTTGTCACCTTTACTCTCCAACAAAAATTAATTAACTCCATCCACACCTCGTAGTATAAATGCTTTGGAATGGTTGGCCAAGGGCAATTTAATTCAAGTAGTTAGGCCCCTTAAAAGAAAGCGTCAAACATCAAGGTAATATATATGCCTCCAAGTGGTTGGGCTCCGGAGTCAGATGCCAGGAGTGAAAACAAAGATTTGGGTGTGGCATGTGCCTTCTGAGGTGAGATTGTTTTCATTATCTTTTGTTTCTTATATTTTTAAGATAAATTATTTTAATAGTTTTATTAACAAAAAATAAACAGTTTAACTTCTTGTAAGAATATAAGTAATTCGCAAAATGTTAATTAAAGAGAAAAAAAAAAACAGAGAATGTCATTTGAAAAAAAAAATTAAAACCACAAAAATATAAATCGAGTTTATCTTATTTTTTAATACAAACATATATAATAGAATTTATAGATGTAAGATGTTTTCTTTTGTTTTGTGAAGCATGATATGGAAAAATAAAGCACGCAATAAGTGGCTGAGTTTTGTAATAACTAATACCTCCTTCATCCTTATTTGTTTATTTCTTTTTCTCAGTCAATGTCAATTTAATTAGTTTCAAAGCTGATACATAACCAGAAAAAGAAGAAGCAAACACAGAAAAAATCACCATAACAAACACCTTTCTCACCCTAGACAACGTCTTGCCACAGAATAACATGCCAAGCAACACTTAACCCTAATCACAACTCCAACCTATAAATTCGAGACAGAAGAGCAATCTTAAATTTGATATTTTTTTTTTGATGGAATTAATGTTATATGATCTTTAATGTCAAAAATTACAAAAAAATTATGAAAAATAAATTTATAATTTAAATAATGTAAAATTATCAAATGTTCAGAAAACCAATAAAAAGAAAAGAAAAGAGAACACAATCTTAAAACATAAAAAAAAGTTTCAAAAGATAAACAAAGAAGATAAGATGGAAAAAGTAATTGGTCTTTATAATAAAAGTGAAGTGACTGGTGGTATTCCATCCTCGGACTTACTAGTATAGGCATGTATGCGAGGGGTTTTAGGGTGCAAGTAAGCACTCTTTTATTTGTCTATATATACCACTGTCGACACTTGAACATTACATGCAAACTTATATGTATTCCGTTTACTCTCTTTCTAGTTTTAACAAGTATATTGTCCTGGCAACTAGGAATAGAATCGCAAAATCAAATCCCATTAAAAGAAAACCATAACAAATGGGTCATCCCAGTATAACTTGGAGAGAGAGAGAGAGAGAGAAGACATACCAGCTAATGCATCAAGTAATGTGGATTTGCCAGATCCAGTAGGACCCATTATAGCCATAATTCTATCAGGTTCAGCAAATCCATTCAGCCCATTTAGCAGTTTTCTAGGAGAAACATTCCTCAAGTTTGTTGTCACAACATTCAGATCTTCCCACACCAAATATGCCGTCTTACTTCCTCCCTTCCCAACGCTTAGCTCAGACCAATCACCACTTCCATTTCTTCGCAAACGATCCATTTTGATCTTTTGTCTCCCTTCTCTTCCCTTCCAATGTAAACATCCATTCCCTAGAGAGAGTATTGCCTTTATAAAGACAAACTTTGTAGACATTAAATTGACGGTTAAGTATTATGATCAAGCACGGCATTACGTGACAGCGAGGTCTGCCTTCGTAATGTCATGGCATTGGTATTTTCTTTTTCAAAGTTCTTTAATTCGTATGTAAGGTGGACAACTATATTTTATATATTTGAAAAAAAATCTGGTAGACTTTGAATCTGCTTTTTTGTTTTAGAGGAAATTATGAGAAATACCCCTTCTCATAAGTTCAATTTAAAAATGACTTCATTATACTTTTAACTGTTTTCAGTTAATTTTTGACATAATTTGATCACAATGTCCTTGAAATCATTTTAGACAAATTAAATGATCCTAGTTTTCTCTATCTCACCATTGATAACTCTATTATATAGAGTTATTTTGACACATTTTGGAGGCTTAAGTAGTTAGATCTTTGAGATTTTAGATTCGGATTTTAGTATTTTAGGTATTTTTATAGTTTAAGTTTAATTACTTTTTAAATGATTAATTTAAATTATTTTAGTTAAATTTATTTTTCTAGGATTGCAATTGAACTCACATGTAATCTAAATTTTTAATCTCTTTCTTGCTTATTTTCAATGGGATTTGAATTGTTTATTCCAATTTGTTCTTAATGCTTTTAATTGCTTGGCTACCATTTAAATTGATTTAGGAACCTAAACAAATATAGGAAGGAGAGTTTAGTATAGATTAAAATTAGAATAGCATGTGATCATATTACTTGATTTGTGTGTAGGATAACGATATACTTATAGGTTATATATAGCCAGATTAGAGCCTGAATTTAATGAATCTATTTTAATTTCAATTCATATAGGGATATAGTATTTTGGTTAAAATAGATATTTTTATAATATGAGTCAGGAGACCCTTTTAAATAATTTAGGACTCTAGGTTAGTAATTCAAACCATTGAAATAAATTAAGGAAGAGAGGTAAGATTTAGATGAAGTGTGAGGGATATTGTAATCCTAGGCTTGTTTGATTTGATATTTATTTGAGTGTTTATTATATTGATTTTTCTTAGTTTAAATTTGTTATAACTTAGTTTGATTTGATATTATTTTGATATTGTTTGAATAAAATTAATTTGCTATAATTTTAGTACTTAATAAACTTTTAGATCAATTCCCTGTGGGATCGATACTCTGCTTGCTAATATACTGTCTATTCGATATGTATACTTGCGTAGTAGAATTTTAACTGACAACCATCCAGATTAAAATTCTAAATTAAATCCTAATTTCTTTATTTTGTCGTCGAACTCTCTAACGTCATCAAAATCTATCTTGCCATCCAACTCTCACTCAGTATCTTAAAGAGTAGAAATGACATTAAGGCATTTGTTTTGGATTCCTGGGTTTATTTGTTTATGTTCTTTGGCAACTTAAACTTGACTGCAAGTAGCGACATCAATTAGTTGTTAGGCATTTTGTGAATACTTTTTAGGTATTGCTTCACCAAATATTAGGTATTGTATGACTGGTCGTTATGTATTGCGTGACTTAAGCATTGTGTGACTAGTTTTTAAGAATTGCATGACTTGTTTATTTGGCATTACGTGGCTAAATGTTAAGTAATGTGTGACTTGATAGGAGGCATTGCGAGAGTAGCTTTTCGGCATTACGTGACGTGCATTGCTTGACTAATTTGTAGGCATTGTGTGATTGGTTTTGAATCATTGCGTTACTTTATCTACCTACTACTAAAGCTGAATATCTACTAATTCAGCCCCTTAAATAACTAATTTTGTAAAATTAGAAGAGAATTAGGAATGCTTAATAACCAATTCAGCCCCCTTAATTCCACTTTTGTCGGTGTAGAAAGCCATCCAGATTCAACTAACACAGAACTATTAAATTTTCTTTAAATCACTTATTGCATTGATTTACATTTATCAAAAAACAAGCTTAAAACCATTGAACATCCTTTCTAAGAGTTAGCATTCATGCCTATAAATAGAGAAAACCTTTGTTCATACTCCATTTCAATCAAAATAATCTTAATCAAAGTCACAAAATTTCAAACTTCTCATGGCTTTTAAACATTCTATAGGGAAATCAAAAAGGATGATGAGTTTGAAAAGGATGATATCTCTGAATATATTATAACATATATGGGAAAATTGATGGATGTCACTGAGAACATGGAGAAGGACTTGTGTGTTTCGATTGACAAGGTGTTAGTTAAGACAGAAGTTCTAAAGACAAAAATTCTGAACAATAACAAGATTCTAGCTGAAATTTATGAATTAGTTGATGAGATTAAGAAGAAATAAACTATGGAAGGCGCATAATACATGATTTTTATGATGTACTATCTGCTTTGTTATAGCTTTATGAATAAAAATATTATTTTATTACATATTTTACATAAATATTAACTACATTTAATTTCTTTTATGCTTAATAACTTATTTGCTTACTATAATTTCTTAAATTTCTATTTATATAAGAGAAGCAAAGGTATGATGACAATAGTTGAAATATTATTTTTTTTAGGTATTACATGACTAGATATTAGGTATTGTATGAATGAATATTAGACATTGCGTGACTAGTTATTTTGTATTGTGTGACTTAAGCTTTTCATGACTAGTTTTAGGCAATGTGTGATCAGTTAAGTTGGCATAACTTGAGTGAATATTAGGTAGTATGTGACTTATTATTTAGTATTGCAAAACTAACTTTTAGGCATTGCATGACTTGTGTAATGCATCTTTAGTTTTTAAGTATTGCGAGACTTACTTTAAGTTATTATGTGACTAGTTTTTATGCATTGCGTAAAATTTGTTTCATAAATTGATTAATTGTGGCATTTGTTTTCTATTAAATTTCAATGATTTGCCAAATGTGAATCTTATAATTACATACGGTGGTCATTGGGTCAATGACACTTACAAGGGTGGTGAAACATAAATGAGGGGGGTTGGGAGTGATTTGTCATTTTCGTGCTTAGTGAAGCTGATTGAAGATGTTGTTGGGATAAACTCACAAAGTCATGAAATCGAGCTACATGCGTTGCTTAATCATGTCGTCGGGGTTTCACACGCAGTTATTAAGGATGATGAAGATGTAGCAAGTATTCTACAAGATGAGAGGGCAGTTGCAGTGTTTGTGATAGTTAAGGAACAAAATGCAAACGTTATGCGACATGAACAAAGTGTCCAACATAGTAATCACTTACAACAAAATTATAATGCTTTAGACATACTACACCATGCATTCTCTAACAAACAACAAAGGCAATCACCATGGATGTATGCACATGAGTTTGAGTAGTTTGGTACACACGAGGTGTTTGCAAATGTTGTTTGCACAATTTCAATCAGAATGTGCATCAAACAAAATACTTCATTCTTGGCAACAAATGCAACCGTCATCTAGGAATGCAATGGGTCCATTGTCATTTGCAAACGACATTGTGATGGTCGTAAGTGATGACAATGCATCTGATCATATAGAGAATGATTGTGAAGAATACGACATTATTGATTAGAATCGTAAGATGGACAATGACTATGAATAAAAGTGTCAATAGCCCAGCTCATTTTTTACATTGGTTGTCAAAATCCCAACCAGCCCACTACTTGTTAGCCCATGGATTGGGTTACACTAGCTCACTTCTTTTTTTCAAAAACAAAATTCATTTTTACAAATTTACCTAGCAGACTCCCTATCAATAAAATTGTTCCATGATTTAATCCATAAATTGAATAATAAAAATATGTTACAAATAAATAAATTACACCAAATATAAATAAGCAAATAAATTGCATTAAACATAAGTAAAGTTACAATCTTTAATAGAAACTACAATCCCATCAACATAAGTACATAACCAAATAAATAGAAACTTTAAGACTCATTTATGTCCTTTTAATCCTCATCCTTAAACAAAACATTTGAAACTTGTTTGGACAATAATGATGTTTCAAGGTCTGAATCATTATCATCTAATGTTCATTATGATAAAAGCAAAAAAGATAGTGAGTTTCAATATTAAGTAAAATTATTAATTTAACAAGCAAAAATTAAAGACATTGAAATGTATAAAATAAACAATACAATCGGTAACTAAAACCATGCAACCAATTTTTTGTGTAGACAAGCATTTGAACATTTTCATAGTGGAGAAAACTTCTAAACTTGGTGAGAACATAGCCACCAATACTAAAAGCGCACTCTGATGCTAACGTAGTAATCGGAATGCTCAATACATCCTGTGCCACAATAAAACTTTCAAGAAAACGCTTAGTATTGTCATTCCAATAATTAAACACATCCAAGCTTTTAAACACTTCATAGTCAAGTTTTGCCTCATCTAAATAAACATCGAACTCAGACTTTCCAACAATAGAAATTATTTCACTTTAAAACATTTTGAACTCCTACAATTTTTAAATACATAGACAAAAAAAATTATCAAAACATAAGTAAAGTAACATAAATTGTTATGTAATAAAATGTTAGAAAGACATAAAACTTAAACTAAAAATCTTTGATCCTTTAAGTTTAGTTCCCCATTCAGTTTACTTATGCAAATTACTCATTGAGTAAGAACAAATACTTAATGACGCACAAAGGTTGCTTGCATATTCCTCAAAGAGCTTGTACGACTTTGTCTTCACATGTTCTAACTTTCCACAACAAGTAAAAGCATTAAATTCAGAATAGCAAAATTTTAAGAAATAAAGCTTCAACCTTGGGTCAAAACTAGCTTTAAATGCAAGCATTATACTATAATCCTTCCAATACTTGTCAAATTTCATTTTCATCTTTTGAGACATATCTTTAATAACCTTATCTTCATTATGCAAATTCTCATTTAAAATGGATTCAATTTTTCAAACTGGCATGAAATACAAGTTGAAAGTTGGATAAGATAAATCAGATATCAAGTTTGTGGTTTCATAAAAGAGCT